CGTTAATTCCTTTTGCTCATTGACTGGTGTATCAGGCGGGTTATATAGGACACAGCAGATTAATCCAGTTAGGTGTCTTGGGAGGCGGTGGGGTCGTTCCCTTAACCATAAGCATTCATCAGAGGGGTTTTCAAGGTCCATTCTTCTTTTAGCTGGGATATTTGTCGAGATGAAAGCGCAGACACCCCCACCACGGCTGTAAGATCTATCATTGCGAAAAATGTTGTAATTATTTATGTAAATTAGTTGCTCAGGAACAGTATCTTTGAGTCACGTTTCAGTTACAGCAATAAACTCTATAGAATGTATTGATAGTAAGAGGGATAGCTCGTCTATTTTGGGTAACAGTGAGCGAGCATTTATAAGAAGAAAACTCGGTAATCTTGATATGTTGTTTCGATTCATAGCCTGGTCATGTATTGAAGTACTGACTAATTTCAGTTGTCTATGATTATTAATGAAGTTAACGACGGTTTTTGAACGGTTGTTAGTAATTCTCACAGGGATCTTGCGAGTATTAGCGCTAACGACAGGGATTATACCAGTGTTTCTGCATACCGTGCCATGCAATAGGGGGGAGGGGATTTGGAAGGTGTAGGGAGGGCATAAAGGGGTTTCCATTAGCGGTTTCGGGGGAGATTGAAAAAACCCCGGTCCATTGGGGTGCCATTGAACGCTTTGATTGTAACCGGAACAGTGTTTTCTTTGTTGTGGGACAATAGGCTGTCGATTGTCGTAAAAAGGCGGAGGAGTAGGATAGATTTTGATAGGCCTTATTGGCTGTATGCTATAAGGAAAAGTGGCGCAATGAGAAAAATCGCACCAAAGGACAGGGCACCAAATGTTTCTGTTCTTCATGCGGATGTTTGAAGTCACATCGGTTTCCTTTTGCGCACCACCCTCGGCGCCTAAGGAATGGGCAGGGAGTGTTGTGCTTTGCACGAGGGTGTCGATTATTGCCCAAGTTATTCTCGTTGTCAGGTTGTGGATTGTATATTATGTTAATCCCTCTTTCGATTTGGTAGTTAGGTCTATTGTCACGCGCTGATTGTCATGAGAAACTGGAACTTGTGTACTATTGAGCAATGAGCGGTTTTCATTAGTTGAAATTTCATTAAAACTTGGATTGTTAATACTCAGATTAGTGGGTTGGTCATTATCTTGGGATTCACATTGGTCATTAACTACATTAGTCATTATGTTAATCCGTTCATTCCGCTGGGTAGCTAGATCTATTGTCAAGCGCTGCTTTTCGTGGGGATCCGGAACTTGTTAAACCATTAAGCAGAGAGGAATTTTCCTTGGTTGAAGTTTCAATAAACCTCGAATTGTTGGCATTCAAATTAGTCGGTTGGTCTTTGTCGTGGAATCCACATTGGTCATTAACCTGGGTTGTACTGGCAGACTCATTAGCACGTTCATTATTCACATGGTCATGGCAGATTACTTTATAAGTTAAGTTTTCAAAAGAGGATAATTTAGATTTTAAAATTAAATTATCTTCTGAGAGCTTGAGAATTGCGTCATCCTGATGACGGATGACACCTTCTAGATCTTTGACTTTAAATTTAAGCGCGCAAATGTCTGACTTATTCTCCTTTATGGTATTGAGTAGCCGGGTTTCGAAGATTACCATCTCGAGTTTTAAACCTTCTATAACTACAGAGCAAGTACTGTTATGACTAGATACCTCGTTTTCAATGATGCGTGACGAACCTCGATCAGTATTCGCTCCCATGTTAAGATCGTTGTTGATAGTCTTCTCCGCGTCGTCTGGCTTTGAGAGGATATCTTTTATTGGCTTTACCAAATTTCCCGCTTTGACTCGGTCAAAAATTATTGCTCCACTCTTCGAGTGCCACGTAATCTCAAGGTCTTCGCAGGTGAAACACCACTTGCCGCCGCTTGGTGACGCCAGACGGCGTTTTCTGCGGCTTTTTCATCGATTATTGTTGACACAAATGTTTTTAAGTCATTCAGGGTTCCACTCCATGTTAATTTGTTTTTCTTTTGGCCGAAGAAACCCATCAAACTCGCTGTCGATAAATTCAGAAAGATATCGGTTTTATCAGAGAGCTCATCACAGAGCTCCTTACAGCACGCCATATTACGCCAATTGCCCGTAAAAGTAAACAGGATATATGCAAATTATCTGATGAATATTTGAATTTGAAGTCACAGTTGGCTGAATTAGAGGTTAAAGTACTCTCTGAGGATCTATCGAATAATACAATCGGCTTCAAAGAAAGCATTGATGATGTTGTCATTAATGAGGTTAACCTTCCTAGTAGCAGTGCCACCAGCATTCCTTTAGATTCGATTTCCAAAATTGCCTCCCCCATTGAAGTTAACCATAATCATTCTATGGGCGCTGCTAATACGGATGTAGATAACCATATGGCTAGTGAATTATCACGCTTAAGAAATGAGAATGATCCACTTCAAAGAAATGTTACCGTTTTACGAGACAAAAATAACTTGCTTCGTGATACCAGCGAAGTCTTATCAATTGAATTGGAGGAACGCAAAGTTTAACCTAAAGTTTGGGATTTGTCTCAAGAAACTTGCCCAAGAACGCAAAACAACCCACAATCAGAAGGGTATTCGCCATCTACTTATTCCCAGCCCTATATAAAGAGTAAAGATTGGAGAAACTATCTAAGACTAGTTAATCGTGTAGCAACGAGCCAAACTGTTCGACCAATTCCACGTGTTGACATTACTAAGTCTCTCCAAAATGCAAATAGCGAAGGTTAAGGGAATTCATTTATAAATCAACCTGGCACTGGTGATGACAGCATACATCTTTGTAACCCTACCCATGACCATAACCAACATTATCCAATCCCAACGCGCATCACTCTACTACGTACCTCATCAACAAACCGGCGTGGAGAAGAAAGTCTAGCAAATCCTTAGAAAGCAAACAGGCTAACAGAGGAACAAGCAAATGGGCTAACAGAGACAAGTTTTTTCGATAGCGTCCCACGTATCACCAAATCGCAGGGCCGTCGCGTGCGGGGGTGTGGGGGGTGTTTCACCCCCCCCCTCCCAATAATTTTCGCAAGTCGGCTCAGTCGGCAAATTGCTTCGCTACGGTTCGGCAAATCGCGAAGTCGGCATTTAGCAAATTGTAAAAGTTGAGAACGAAGGCGTTGGTTAAAGCGATAAATTTTGGATTTAAAGTAATGGTTTGTGTGGCCTTAGGCCAAAACCATCTAAATGTATATCTAGTAATGTAATAGTATTAGTCTTTTATTTGTCGAAAATCGACGGGAGGCTGAAATGTGAAACCCAAGTTTTCCGACTAACACATCAATTAAACAGGTCCTAATCCTCGGGCATGTTCTTCGCTCCATTGCTCTTATAGCAAAGGCTCTTTATCAATTATGCGCTGTTCAAAGCACAAATAAAACAGAATAAAATTTCAGTGTCTTGAATCTAATTCGATTTTTGACGACGATTGCCGCAAGAGGCACGATCAAACTTGCCATAAGGGGAAAGCGAGTGCGACTGTGCGAGTAGCACAGAAAGACGGGTACGGTTAATCCGTTTGAGGCTGCAAAGCGCAGTCAAAGCCAAAGAGAGTATTTTGATTTTCTGAGTCGTCTGAGTCGCAATAGACAGATTTAGAAAAGACGACGTGACCTCAAAGACAACGTGAAAATGGCGCCAAAATGGCGTGGCACATCCATATATGGACAGAACACGCCATTTTCACGTCGTCTTTGAGGTCGCGTCGTCTTTTCTAAATCTGTCTAATATGCTCAAGAAGACTCCACAAGCACAAGAGAAGAAGACCAAGAGAATTAGAGAAAGACGAACCATGTCGTAAGAACGGACTTGTCTTCTTTAGTTCTTTAGCAAAATTACTGTTAACTCTGATCAGCCTACAGTTTTGAAAGACATACCGCATACAACGATCGGTATCATCGGTTGTATATCCGTTTTACTTGTTTTCTGACGCATAAAATTTAAACGCTTGGAATTAAAATCGGGTCGTACAAAAGCCCACTATCCACCACTAAGAGTGTTTTAAGACTGCTCGAAATACAAAAAAAAATATAAATTGTCTATTCGGCGCCTGGGGATAAAAAAGGTCAAATTCATCAAATTGCCATGAAAAAATTGAAACAAAATATCAATGCATGCAATCACATGCAGATACTCGGATAACTTTGCGGAGATGCGCGTCTGCACCACAGTCTAAGACACTCGTTACTCAAACTATGCACACACGGTAACGTTTCCGAGCGTTTTTGGTTGTAATACTTTCTGAAACTGAAAGTACCATTTTCACGTTCTGTTTACACGAAGACATATGAAAACGGCGTCAGGAAGCAAACACGTTTCAAATAGTGGAAACGATGCTAAAGATTCGTTTTCTGTGTCTGAAACGTTTGGTCCTTTTGGCACTTTGTTATCGTGTGAACAGGAAAGTGGATCGAAAGCGAAAATGAAATGCCGTGTTTGAATTTGGAAACGAAGACTACAGAACTAGTGCTTTGTCAAAAAATGTTCCGAGAAAAATTATCAATGTGAACAAGGCGCCTAAACGCTAAATTTGAAAACCCCACTGCAAAAATGCTCAAAACCGTTACCGTGTGCATGCACATAGACATACGTCCGTATTCTAAATGCTCACTCACACTCACACTCAATGAGTGGAGGTTCAATCTGAGCTTCTCTCGAGTCCCATTGCTGTTTTTGAATAGCTAGAGGGCCAGTGTCATACCTTACTATGTAACTACTCACCCTCCAGCTATTCAAAAACAGCATTGACACTCAAGAGAAGCTCATATTGAACTTCCACTCATTGAGTGTGAGTGTGAGTGAGCTCTTAGAATACGGGCCGTCAGTCTCGATTTAGGATTTATTTAAAACACAATATGAACCGCTACGTTAAATTTAATTTTGTTTCAGCTTTATGTGTTTAATATAAATAAATTAAAATAATAGTCCTCTTATTTGAAAACAAACGCACGAAAATAAAATAGTGTGCCGTTATTAGGGTAGGTTCATATTGAGCTGTGGTTCCAGTTATTGTGAAATTGTGTGCTTCGATTGACGATTGTGTGACCTTATATATGTTTATTCTTAAAATGTCATATTTTATATACAAAGAAACCTGATTGCTTTGTAGCAAAAACCCACGAACAAGCGTCCATTTCAAAACAAGAGCCATATTGGTGTCCCTTATTACTAGCACACCAATATGGTTCTCATTACCTATATCTAAACTTTAGAAACGTTTGAAAAACTCGGCAAATTCAACTAGCGTCACTCGGCAATTTGACCTTCGATATCCCCCAATCCATACCCCTACGCAACGGCCCTGCCAAACCGATTGGCTGAAAGACAAACACGAGCGGAAGAACTGGTACAGCTATTACTACCAAAAGAATATGCACCACTGTGTAACGCACGTAAATCCAATTTAATTCATATTCCTTTGGAAAAGAACAACGATAAATAAAAAAATGGGGAACTTCTCCCAATGTAATGCTTTTAAATGTAAGATTACTTATTAATAAAACAGATGAATTGGAATTATTGGTTATTACTAATGATATAGACATAGCTTGCATCACTGAGTCTTGGTTAAAGAAAATTGTTCCCGATAAAGCTGTGGCTGTTTCTGGAATGACATTGGTTAGAGATGATAGAACGTATGGTACAAGAGGGGGTGTTGCTTTATATGTGAATAGCAAAATACCATTTAAAATTCGCAAGGACTTGAATGACCCCCCGTTTGAGTGTCAATGGGTTACATTACGTCCAAAATGGTTACCAAGAGCAATATCAAAAATTGCGGTGTGTTGCGTATACCTACCAACGAGTCATAGCGAGATAAACAGTTTTTATGATTACTTTTATAATTGTTATGACAAACTCTGTACTGAAAGTCCTAACTCAGCTTTCATTGTTACGGGCGATTTTCACCCAACGAGTAACGGCTTTCAACAGAGTCGATTAAATAGACACTGCAGTCTTAAACAAGTTGTCAAGGTTCCGACACGGAATAACAATATACTTGATTTGATTTTTACAAATATCGCGGATTTTTACATAAATCCTGAGGTCTTAACACCTCTATCAACATCAGATCATAACATTGTGTTGTGGAAAGCGAGAACTGATGCCTCTGTAGTAAAGACTGGAAACCGATAGTAAAGGTAAAAGTGAGAGATCTCAACCATACAAGTACGGAACAGTTTGGGGTTTTTCTAGAGAACTATGACTGGAGTGAACTTTTCTCTAACAAAGGACTCGATGAGAAAGTTGATGGTTTCTTCATCTTATGAAGAAAATAAAAGTTGATGCTTTTCTTCATTTGCATGAATGATGCCCCACATTCCAGAGGAGTTTGGGGACGTTTAGTGCAGTCATGCAAGAGAGCTATCAAAGCTGTCGTAGGAAACCAGACTCTGACGGACGGAGTCTTGTTAACGGTTATGGCGGAAGAGGAAAGCTTGTTAAATGGTCGGCCACTTACTCATGTTAGCACGTACCTTTCGGATAAAGAGGCGCTGACTCCCAACTATTTCCTTTTGGGAAAATCTAACCCAAACTTAACCCCGACGTGTTTATTGACAAAGAGATTTCTAGTCGGAAACGATGGCGTTAGGCCCAAGT